AGCTACTCAGTACTATTTCATTCGTTCATTTTCGTTCTGCAATGCAATGGCAACCTCAAAGTTTGTCATGCGGTTTGAATTTGAACGCCATAATAATTACCGCTTAAAATGAACTTTATTGTGCGGCAGCTTGCCGAACACCGCAAGGCCAATCAAAGCGTCATTGAAACGGAAACGGAAGCTGCAAGTCAAATAACAGTCGCTCTCCAGCAGGAAATGAAGCGCACAAGTAGCCAATGCGACCGCAAATTAGCGCGAGCCTTCGATTCGTCTTGTTTGCTCTTTGTGAGGCCATCTGACAGACCGACAGAACGACAGACCAAGCATGCGGCCATGCATAGAAAAATTCTGATTAATTTTTCAAAAATGAGAACGAATTGAGAGCAAGTGAGAAGCTGTACCCTTGGACTGGGTTTGGGCGCAACTTTGTCACTGTCAGCCTCAACGTCAGCAGCAGAATCAGCATCAGCATCAACTTTGATGCAGAGCGTTGAATGAACGTTCAAATGAACACCGCAATGAATGTGCGCAGCATGACAAATACGTAAAGTTTCTTTTGAAATTAAGCAGCATTTGCTGCCAATTCTTAACTACATCAGCAGGCCAAGCGGCTCACTGGCTGGAGCTGTTGTTGGTCGTAGTCCTGCTCCTGCTCCTGCTGCAGATGCTGCCGGCACTGAAACTTTGTCCTAGCTCTTTCTCTCTTTCCCTGCTCTCTCTCTCTGTGTCTCTCACACTCACTGTCGCTTTCCCTCTATTCGTAGTTCCCCTTTGCCTTTCTCTTTCATTTAACAAGCGAGTTTTTCTTTCGGCTTGTGTGCACTGTTAGTTTTTACTTGGCACTTTCTTCGGTTGCCCCTCAGCCTGCCGAACTCATTGGAAACTTTTGACACAGAAACTAATTTCGGCAAGCGGCTGCACCCTTCAGAGCCTCCCCAACACCCCCAACATCCCCCACTTCTCTGCAGTTGCTGTTGAGTTTTTCCTTTTGCGTTGTGCATTTAGTGGCTTTTCATTCTTTCGCTGATTGCAATATTTCATTGCCTTTGCGGTTCGTGTGTTGCATACTTTGGAGCGACATCGCTGAGGTTTGCTTTAATTAATTGCCAGCAGCCCTCATTGTCGCAATTCGCTGTCGCCGTTGCCGAAGCCGTCATCGTCTTTGCCGCATTCCGCATGCTGCATGCCGCTTGCATTTTAAAGTGATGGCAGCCCAGCCTGTGGTTTGAATGGTGCTTTAATTGCCGTTTGATTTGATTTACACGCTAGCGGTATTCTTGTCGTTGCTATTATTGTTGTTGTCATATTGAGCTTGTTGTGAAATGTTTCGGCCACTGCCTCCATTATCCACCGAACAATTAACGGGCTGCACTGCCGCCTCGGGGCCTTGCAAACAATAGCCTCAAACCTCAAACTTGTAATACCTAACACTTCAATCAGCCTGACTCGCCTCTGTATATCAAATTTTGTGAATTACCGCATCTCGATTATGTGATAAGTGTGATGCGCTGCTCATTTGCCGAATAGATCAAACCTTTAATTATAAATGACAGGCCAGGCAAACTGTTTAAGGCATTACTCAGAAGGGATTATTGAAAGCAATTTGATATGGAGTGTGGGCAAAACTGCATCTCCGATAATCACAAATTTTCGATGTTCAACATGCTCGTCAAAATCCATACTCAATACCTACGTTTTTAATGGATCAAATGTCTGTAATGCTTTGTTTCAAATATTTGGGAGGAGTATGCTCCCAATAGAACTAACATAAATGTTACTCAACGATGGGTATTCAATTCAACAAATGAAAGCCTATTTCAATGTATCTCTAACTTTCACTTCAAATTTGTTGTGGGTGCTGTGCGAGGCGGGAATGTATGTACATATTTATCAATATCCCCTTAATTAATTTCTGCATACGTGGTGCAATTTGCAATTTTGATTTTTGTTTTGAAAGTATTTATTTATTCATCAATATCCATTTTGAACGCTCCAAAGTAATCCCCTTAGATATAATGCACTTATAATAATACTATTATTGCTTTGAAGGGGATAAGATGGATATTGATGAATAAATAATACATCAACTAAATACTAATCATGTAATAAGTAACTGCTGAACTGCCTACTTTTTAATTTAACATTTCAAAAATTGTACACACGATATCTGACGAATTGCAAAATTTGATTTTGTTTATCGTTCAGAATACGAAAGTATACATATCTAATTACTTAAAATAAACCTAAATTAACGTTTCAGCCTATTCGAAGAAGGCCTCTGTGAAACATAGTAATTATTTATTTATTTATAAATATATATATACGAGTATTTATGGTTTGTAAGCAGCTATGTTTTATTCCACCAACTTCTATACTATAAGTTATATTTCCAATTTTGATAATTACAATGCATAAGTGCATCGTAACCTCAAAAGAATATTAAACCCACATACGTTGTTTCTGGAAGAACTTAATGCGTTTGCTTCTTTAAGCCACATTTTTAAGCTGATTGGTATAATATTAGTAAGAATAAGCGGACAGTTGGTATTGAAATATGATGTATATTAACAGCTATTATATTACCAGTTAATCGGGCAATTAGTGTCCCAACACATTCTTTACAAACTCAATTATGCCCGAAAATGAGATTCTAGCTTTTGTCTTTGTGGAAATTAGTCATAGAACTCGGTGAGTAAAAAAATCAATTTACGAAGTCAATTGCAAAAGCCGAAACCATCGCAGTTGACTGATCCAATACAATACCGCCACAAATACATACTTACCAACATATGTAGGTGTGAGTGAGTGTGTGTGTGTGTGTGTCTGTTTGCACAACCACCACATCCCCATGGAAGACAGCACTTTATACCTTTCATGCACTGTTGAAAGCAATAATTGAACATTTTTTGCTTCTGACTGTGTGCGCTTTGTCGATGAGTTTTGTAAATTAACATTATTGGCAAACGGCATCCAGCGAATGAGCAACAGAAGCATTAGCTGCAACAGCAGCAGCAGTAGCAGCGATAGCGGCAGCAAAAATTTACACAATTTGCAACAATAAAAACGCTGTAATTGAGATGCTGCAGCGCATCTTGCAAAGTCAATTACATAGGGATGGCGTGGCAAATGGAAAAGCGGATTTTATTGAGCTTCCATGGGCACGGGAGCCGGTTTGGGAGTGGGCTTGGGAGCATAACTGGGACATAGGTTGGGCCGCGGCTGATGCTAATGCTGACAGTTGCTGCTTGGCGAGTTTTCTGGCCAACTAGAGAGGTATAGCACATTTCATGTGAACAGAGTGAAATTTTCACTCTTGCAGTTAATAATTCAAATGGCTGCTGGGCAGCCAACAGTTGCTGCTGCGGATGCTGCAACAGCAGCACGCAAATGAAGCAATACGCTAAAGAGCTGATTTCGTTTCATTTTCAATTTAACTTACTTTTATTTCAATGTTGCCGGGGCACACGCTTCCAACGGTTTTCTTTTGCTCGGCGTGCTAAAAATTTTTGCAATTACCGCGAGGACAAGTGGAGAGGGAGTGGAGTGAGGAGAGGGATGTTGGGTAAGGGGCAGTCAACTCTAAAACAGAAGTTGGAATTACATTTTCAATATTTTGCACACCAGAGGCTTTGCCCCTGCAGCTCACTATTCAACGTTTCTGGTAACGTACATACTAAAGCGTCGTCTCATCATTTTTTTTTTTACTGTTACATCGCAGAGTGCCTTCGCTCTTGCCTATATCCTTTTACTTCACAGCTATAAATTTTTAACTACAAGCTCTTGAATGCAATTACTTTTCAATCTTTTTCCTGTCGCTGTCTCTGTGTCGGTGTATTGGTATGGTGTGTCTGTGTCTGTGCCTGTGTATGTGTAGTTGCAGCGAAAATGGCTTATTTCAACATTAAACTTTGAAAAGTTCGTTGAATTTCGTTTAAGAAGCAAAAGTTTTCCATAATTTTGCCAGCGTTTTTTTCCTATCACTTCCCATCACATTTTTTTTCTCTTTACTATTTATTTTGCCAAAGTAAGGCGTGCGAATGATATATATATACATATACTACATAAGACTAGGTTCAACTTTGTTTTATTTGATCAAGAAACTGACATAATTGGCTATGCAAAAAATATGAGTACGATTTCGTGGCACTTTGCGATGTGACAAGGCAGTTAAAAAAGTTTATCTTGCGACTTAAAACAGAAAACTAGCATTCTCATTCTATGAATTTTGAAATTGGAATTTGGATTAACATTGACTTTATGTGGGCTTGGAGGGGCTTAGCATATAAGCCAAGTCAGCCAATCTATTAAAGGTATAAAAACGGTGACTCTTTTGATATCAATACTCCTTCTTTCAACTACCATAGCATTCGATTGAGTTCTACTCTCTGAGATCATTAATGAAAATTCTTGGAATCGAGCAGCTGTCCCAGCCAGATAATCCACGCAAACGGCCGACAGACAACGCCTACGGACATCGCTCGGGTTCGCCCTCCATGTTACCCTTTTGCACCGATAGGTCGAGCGAGCAATAACTTGTCTATTCACCTTATATCGATGGTTCAGTCCCATCAGCTGCTTGGGGAAGTACGTTTTGTAATGTCACTTAATCTTTTTATAGGCCGAATGAATTTTTTAAATTGCTAACACGTCGGCGCATGCTCGCAGCTTGCAGTCGTCAAACGCTTGTCCATTACAACGGATTAGTGAGCGGATTAAGAATGAACGTGTTTGCAAAATAAGAAAACTTTATGGCGGCAAGCAGATTAAGAATGAATCGTTTTTTATTGCGACAATGTACAAGTCAAAAATGCAGGACATGCATTCGAAGCAACAGGTAGAGGGACGATCGGGCAGCAAAGCAAAAGGGCAAAAGGGATAGGTACCTGACCCTGACGAGGCAGCCCTTCTGGTCTTCTAAAGTATAAAAAGCTATACATTCTTTGCCACAGACCACAAACGCAGCTCAATCGCAAAGGCAGCAACATCTAAGAACTTCGAAAATGTCACAATATCAGAAACAAGTCAACGAGGCTGGAACCCTTTCGAGACATTTGGAGAACCAGCGCCGACAGGGCCCCACCGTCACCTATCATCTGTACCTCTATCGGGAGGAACTGTCCCGACGCAATGTCGAGTATATGCGTTTGTCTAAGGCCAAGTATTTCATCACGGAGAAGCTGCTGGCCAAGACGGTGCGCAATCTCAAGAGTTGCAGTGTGGATGAGCTCAAAGCGGTCAATCACCAGATTGTGTTCCGACATAAGTTGAAGCGTCAGATACATCGTCTGCGGAAACTGCAAAGTCTCGGCATCAAGAATGCCAATCCGCACATGGAAAGCACGGAGCTTTAAGGCAACATAACAACAGGAACTCAAGCGCCGATAGCAGCTCTATTACCTGAGCATAGAGTTTGGCTTATTTGGCATAGTTTAAGCCAGTTTAAGTGGCGGGCACTGCACACAATTCATAATCTTATGTTTCTTTTTATTTAACTTTTTATTAGAAAAGGAGTTTGGTTGTTTTTTGCAAATAAAATTATAAATAACACCTCTGGGTGGTATGGTAGAGTAGAATAAGTACACAATAATACTTACTATAGCTATAAGTACTTCCAATAAAGATATATAAAAATATAACTTTTTTGTTAATAAAAATAAATATGACAAAGTTGACCGCCACAAGTTTATTCCATTGCTTAATTTCTAACAGAGTATTAGGTAATGGTGGCTTAAATGAGCATTGCAGAGCAGACTGTGTAGCTATTACCTTCTTTTTCATACAAATTTGTCGAAATTAGCAAAACCATGAGTTTACTTATGGAATTGATCGAATCGAATATTTAAATACATATGTACAAATATCCTATATTGGTGGATACCTTTCTGCTTTGCCAATAGTAGTTTTCTCCCTTTTTCGCTACGTCCGGCTCGACATATATATATATTATATCATAAACTTAAAATCTAGGCTACGACAGGTCAGGGAATGGATCATTTTTCGGCCATTACATCCAGTTAGTGTTTATGCCCGCAGCTGTTTTTAATGTTGCTGCATTGGCTTAAAACTAATTTAATTTTAAACATGTTCCAATTTATTCAAGTGACTACAGAGTGTTACGAGTTGGGTGATCCCAATTATAGTATTCCAGTCTTGCTTTTCTTTGAAAATTGTCCACTATTTGAAAACAATCGACCTAAAATATTATAATGACGTAACAAATTAATCCGTATCCTTAAATTAATAATTGTCTTAGCAACTTTATTTGGTTTTTTTTGTTGGCATTATTTTGAGTTAATCTTTTATACAAAGTTATTTCAACAATTGGATCTGTCATATAGCTGTAGTTAGTTTTCAAAGTAAAACCACTTTAAATAAATAACAATTTCGAAGAGAAAAACCTAATAAACGAATGCAATTTCAGGCTTTTTATGAAAAAAGCTTCGTTTGAATTGCAAACTTATTTCATAGACGAACTTGTGAGTTAGCAAATGAGTTTAAATTTAAGCTTCAACTAAGCTAAATGCGCTTTTGGTGATATTATTTAACCGGCTGACATTACTTTTATAATAAACCGTTTAGCTATAAGATTTATTCGATTAGCTATGCATTCACATGCATCGCCGTGGTAAATAATCCATTTATCGGAATGTACCGTTTAGTGTGCATCGAGTAGTTTCATTAGCGTCAATTCCATGGAACTAATTCTTCTTGACAATGAACCAGGCAAGTTAACCGCCGCCACACTTCAGATCTCCTCTCCACCACTTCCTCGTCAGCATCCAAACCGCTGGTCCCCTGTGAAACAACTGTTGAGAGGAATGCGCATCCAAATGCAAATTTAAAACGAAGTCAAGCACATAGTTAGATTTAAATTCAACGACAAGGAGGAGAAGAAGAAGAAGTCGTCGTGGTACTCCGCAGACAACGTCTAATTGAGTTCCATAGAATTTTGACATGTGTCAAATGAAAGTCGCAAACATGCCAAGCTGTCAAAGGAAAGAGGCCGCGAGGCTATTTTCACTTCCCCACCACTTCCCCGTACCAAAGGCAATGTGCGTTTTAATTTATGCACAATTTATGGCCAATGGGTGCACTGAACTTTGGCAACGTCAGCGCAATCGTTGGCGTCATATGCGGCGTCGGTGTCATGCCGCATCAATCGCAAACGGTTCTTATCACCGTGGCTGTAACTTACATTCTACATAGGAGCTGTTGATTGAATTTAATGCTTTCTGTAGAACCAATAATCGATAAATGAAATTTAAGAAATAAAAGTTGGAACACATCTACAATACAAGTATTTTGAAATCAGATTTCAACAAATCTTGTTGCTTGTTTCTCTACATAAAATAAACCAATTTCATTGTCTTTTAGCATTCATACGTATTGCATTTGTAATGTATATGAACATATTCAAAACGACAAATCTGGACTAGTCCTAAACTATTAATTTTCAAAACGAAATTTTCTATTACTCTATTAGGGAGAAGTCGTACAGATGTGGCGAAGATAATTATTTACTGCAAATAGTGGTACATTTAAAGGATATCTTAAATATTTTGTATATATTTTTCTCCATTATGTGCCTCAAACCTTAGTGTTTTCGCAAAACAAGTAGTTTTACACCACTGTGCTTCAGTTGAGCTGACTGGGCTGGACATGCTAGCTGGCTCGCTGGCTCGCTGGCTGGTCGGTTCGCTGTCTGGTCTGGAATTTATTTGCACAGCAAGTGTCAATGCTCGTCGTTTGTTTGCTTGGCGGCATTCAAAAGAAGACATTTCCATGTGCAGGCTAAAAATGAAAAATTGCCGCCAAAGCCGCAAACGATGCTGCGACAAAGGCGAGAATGTCACACATGCCACGGCATACTCATAAAATGTGAGCCACTATGCCGGCCATTTAATTGCACATAATTTGCACAAAGTGTTTTACACTTAAGTTAACGCCAGCATAATTATTTTCTCCCAAATAATAATATATTATATTAAATGCAACAAGCGGGGATTGCAAAATTGTGAAATTATTAATGAATGCGGCATAATAAATAAATGGTGCGCGTAATGCGGCCAGTAAGTCAATTTTATTATTGAAATGCCCGCAGATCAAACAAAACCGAAGCCCCACACACACACCCTTCCGCGACCATATAATATGTGCATTAACAATTATAATTCCGCAACTTACACATGCACACACTCACATATGTATGCAGCTGTTGTCAAATGCAGACATATGCCCGCTCACATATACATACATACATACATACATACATACGAGCATAGTACTCATGGCACGACAATTTGCAAACACTTAAAAGTATGCTATGAAAAATGGCATAAACATTAAATTTTCCGCACAATCAATTTCTTAACCATGGCCCTCACATCAACACAGATATACCCGCACGCACACACACACACACACACACACACACACACACACACACACACACACGCACACAAACGAATGCATGGTAAAGTCTACAAATTTATTTTGCAATTTATTTATGCTTTTACCGGCTGTGCCAGCAGATGGCTTTATCGTCTCAACTTCCTGCCTTCAATTGCGATAAAAGTGTGTATGTATTATACATACACAAACATATATTTATGTATAAGGTATATTGCAAAAAATACCGAAAGTATTCAATCAGTTTGTTTAAGCTGAAAATTGAATTTGTATTATGAAAGGAAATAAATATAGTCATCTGGATGAAGTTACATGAATCGTTGGTTGCCAAAGGTGATAATGGATGAACAAATTAAAAATGAGGAACACAAATACTTTCTAATGAAATAATTGGTACTAAATATAATTCATTTTTCTGTAGTAATCTACAGTGAAAAGTAGTTAGATGTTAGTTACCTTTGACCCATCTTAAAATACAGATTCATATGTGATGCTTATTGTTGTACATGAAAACTTGTATATACTGATTTCTTAAATTATTATTTTTATTTTATAAATAATATTATTGAATTTAATTAAAACTGTGGTCACGTTAAGGTTTGGTTTAAGCTGGCTTTTATTTAAAATTCCTTATAATAGCTTTACTAAAAGATAATCTTATGCACAATGATTCCCCTTACCACAAAAATAAGTTTGCAGTTGCATATTCTTTAGATTGAGGTGTAAGCTAAATTGATAGCCACAACTATGGCTACAACTGGAACGAGTCGATTAGTGGGCTTTCATTATGAACATCATTTTCATTACATTTATTAGAACGCAAAGTGGCAGCTGGCAGTTGTTGTCGCCCCCACCACTCATCCCACAGACCGTCTGTCCTCTTTTGGCCGCACATCCTTACTGAGCGACCGGTTTCAAGTTAATGCAATAAATAAAATTTAAACTGCACCGTCGGGCATGTTTAGCCGCATGAAAAGCGTCAGTAAGCCGTGCTCGCCTAAGAAGTTGGCTGTTTATCTTAGCCGTCTCTGCCTTTGTTTGCCTGCCATGCTACCATTTTGCCATTCTGCTGTCCTGGTATCCTGCCTGTCACCACTTGCGTCGTTATAACTACAGTGGGAAAATAGAAGATGTTGCGATCAAATCGCGTCACCGTCAGCTTAAGCTGAAGAGTACAGAAGTACTGTTTCCACATTTCATACACAATTTAAAGAAATTAAATTACAAATTATAATGCTATAATTTTTAAAACGTTTGAATTAGTAAATAGTTGCAAACATCGAATTATTTAATTTTAAATATGAAAATTCTCTTACTCTAACGGTTCAATTAAATGTCGAACAGCTTACAAAAGTTTGGAAAAGCATCCATAGAACATGCATTGCTTGTTCATATGGTAAATCTGTATGTATGTATATACATATATTCTTTATGGCACCAGTTGAACTATTACTGAAGAAACTGAAAAACTTCAAAAGCTGCAAAATAATTTGTATTCTCCTTTATTCCTATGTATGTAGGTGGCTTCCATCGTTTTCTTTAAGAAACTTTCTACTTTAACTCCCACAGTGTTGCTCGTGTTGTTGTTGTCCCATTTAGTTGGCAGAGTTGGTCGGCTGGTTTGTTGGTTGGTTGGTTGACTTGCCTGCTCGCTAGCTTGGCCAACTGCTCTAATGAGTTTACAAAAAGTTTTGCTTTAATAAATGCGCAAAAGGCACAACAACAACAACAAGTAGCAATGGGTGCCAGGACAGAAGCGAGGGAACTGAGCAACAAACTGGGCTCAGCAACGAGCATGTTACACAAATTAGAGAGTGAGCAAAACTGTCATCAACGTGTCTGGACCTGGGCCCGGTCTCAGTATGCGTCTTGGTCTGGCCAGTGGCTAGAAGCTTCTGCTTCTTCCTAGAATCTTCATTATACCTGGCACCCGCATTAAACT